CATGCTGGCTGGGGAATTCTGGGAGTTGAAGTCCACCCATCTTAAAGTTGCCAAGGTTGAGAAACACTGCTCTACATGATCAGAATGAATGCTGACAGCCATCAGTCTATTACAGCTTTTCTCAGAAATGTGTGTAGGTTTGAAAAGATGCTTTGTAAGTCAGCCTTCTTCAACCTGGGGGCCCAAAATGGAAAATAAGGGAAACTAGGACATCAAAGGCTTTGAGTTGCCATCTCCACCAACCACCTTAAGGCAGAATTGCATCATAAAGAAAGAATGTGAAGGCTGACTCTTGGGCAATCTGACTTTTGTGCAGAAGTATCTGTTGGCACATGTACCACTTTCTCATTTTGCATGAGTCTATGCCACCTTCTCCCAATGCACAGTTGCCCCAGTGAGCGGGGAAGGACAGTCAAGCCACAACTTCAACATGCAATAGCTTGGCTATTTCTGAAAAAGGGGCTGTGGTCATTCTGTTTCACCTACCTTGCTAAAGCATCTAAGTTCTTCTAAATTTTTCTAAAAATCCGCTTAAGACTGTTTGGTGCCCATGCATAGGGCACATGCCCTTAGGCAACATCTCATTTTACAAGCATTAACAGGTAGAGTTGGAAAGATTAAAAGAGAGCAGAGAGCATCAAAGTTCTAGCCAATCCACCCTTCTTGGGATGTGCGTTTACCTGATCATGGAGAGACCTCTCCTTTCTACTACAGTCTTTCTTGCAGAAATAACAAAATACTGGGACAGGGAGGGCGTGGGGTGGGTACTATGAGTGAGGAGGGAGAACAATTATATCATTCATTTTTGAGCACTGTTTATATCCGGGGGGGGGCAGGGAGGCAGAGATGTCTGGCTAGGTGATAGCACCTACTTGGCTGATCTCAAGAAGATTAAAAAGAGTCAAACCTGTTTAGGACTTGGATGGGAGATGGAAAAACACCCACAAAGATGATGATGGCCAACCATTTCTGTTCGGCTGCCAAGAAATTACAAGAGCAGTTGATAATGGAAATAAATAATGTGTGAGAATAAGTAGAATACTTAATTTGGTATATAATTCTGTATACTTATACAGAATACTGTAAGACAAGGAAATGTGATGTCCCCTTGTTTGATTAAAACATTTATGGATAAATGTATAATCAATGCTTGTGATTCATGACAGGTGTGTTGATTGGGGATGTACATGTGTGTTATTTTGTATGCTGTGTTGCTGGCTGAGAACCGAACTGGTTTGAAGTGAGTGCGTGATTGTATGATGTGCTGAGGACTGTGGATCTGAAAATTAATATCAAGGACAAAGGTAATTGTGTTTGATAGAGAAAATGCTATGAGAGATTGCAAATTATACAAAAATGGTGAAAAACTAGAGCAACTATATTAATTTCTGTCGTAGAAAATTGGGTGGAGAAATGTGAAGCCGTGTAAATGCTGGCAGAAGGATAATAGGCAATATATTGCAAGGAATGAATGCTTGTTTAAAGAAGCAGAACTGTTTGTGTATGAAAGTGTGCTTTTGCCCAGTGTTTTAGGTGTAAGCAAAAGTTCCATACATCGGGATGTAAGTTGAATGCTGTGGAAATAAATTGGCTAAGTGCATATGATAAAACAAAAGAGATAAGGATAAATGGGTGCTCAGTGAATATAGATTGAATACCAAAGGGAGTGCAGTGTTGAAGACATGTGTTAAGGTGGTTGGGCCATCTAGAAATAATAAATGATGGTTAGATTGCAAACCAACAACATGAAGGAAGAGTAAATGGGTGGAGAGGAAGGAGAAGATCAAGAAAGGTGTAGTTGGATGGAGCTGATGAGATCCTCAGAGAGAGATGAGAAAAAACAAAAAGCAAAGCATGAAGCAATGTATGGACACTTTAGGGAAGGAGAAACAGAAAATACACCCAACAGTAGCTTTGGACGGGCACCGCAAGGAGGAACCTTTCCATCTGGAAGTGCCTTCCAACTCCTTGGGGAAGTCCCTTTCACATGGTGGCTTAGAAAGTAAAGGTATTTTTTTTTATTTATCTTGTTAAAGAAGGAGCTTACAAAATCCACATTTTGCTCCTGGTTCTTTTAATGCTGTTGCTGTTGTTTCACGTTGGATGGTGCCAGCTTTTGGCACCATCTCTCACCTGTTAAGAAATGACTCAGGAATTGCAGGTCTTTTCTTCATGCCTTAGAGCAGGGTTTCTCAACCTTGGCAACTTCAAGACGTGTGGACTTCAACTCCCAGAATTCCCCAGACCCAGAGTTGAAGTCCACACATTTTCAAGTCGCCAAGGTTGAGAAACCCTGCCTTAGAGTCTAGACACCTTCTCCTGGTTCTTTTGTGGAAAAATTGCAACCTTCAAAGGATGTGGGTACTTCTTTTCCTCCCCTAATCATTACTCAAAAATAAAACAACAGCGAAGATAGTTTTTAAAAGTGCAAGTACTCATTTAGTGCTGTTGAAGATTGCTGGCGATGGTTGGCTAAAAGCATAATTTGAAACTGGTAGTTGGACCATAGGGAAAAATGGCTGGCATTGTAGATTTAACGACTGAGAGTCCATTTTGTTCTGTGGGTTGCTCATGGGGTTTAGAAGCGGCTTGGCATTATTTACACAACACATTTAACCGAATCACATGTGGTTAGTGCAGTGTGCAAATACCCTAATCCAATTAATTAGCTTTGGCAACTCACCCTGAGGGAGCTTAGTTTTTGCCCCAAATATCTGGGACTGAACTATGGGGCCAACTAGAACCAACCTGATTTACAAGGTTATTGCGGGGACAACTGCTCGTAGCCCCCCATTTTGGGGATGTAATGGAAGTTGAGGGTAGAAGTGACTGAGAAGTCTCCCTAACCCTAACCTGCACCCTCTCTGATTGCATTCAGGAAGAAACTGAAAATCAGGTTTCATAGAGTGTTGTAGCTTAGATCAATTTAATATATTGATTAATATATGAGCTTAATTGTAGCTGACCATCAATTTAATATATTGATTAATATATGAGCTTCTTTGCTTTAAAATTGAACCATGGTGGTTTTATATCATGTGATGAGTCTTTTTTTTTTTTTTTAGTGCTGTGGAACATAGATGCAATAAAATAAATAAATAAATTTGCCTCCCCCCGCCATCAACCAGACCATTTGAACTACTTAACAGAAGTTCATTGTCCTTTCTCACCTCTGAGGTAGAAATACATTCCTAGATAGTCTCATGAAAACGGGAACTCTCTAGGACAGCTTGAAGATGTGTGGACTTCAACTCCCAGAATTCCACAACCACCCTTGCTTAGCTGGGGAATTTTGGGAGTTGAAGTCCACACATCTTCAAGCTGCCAAGCTTGAGAAACACTGCTCTAGGAGCTTTGTCTCTGTTGCTCTTTTGCTCCTTCCCCACAGCAACCCAAGGGAATGGGGGGGGGGCACAAAGGGGGAAGAGTGGGAAAGCCCCCCCTTCCCCTCCCCACTATTGTGTGCAAAGAGGTACTGACCTCAATTGTGTTACCACAGATTACATTCTCTCTCTGGCGATGGGGAAATGTGAAGTGACAGCTTCCTTTGCAGTGATTGGGAAAACTCAGAAAATAGTCATTGCCCAATTGAGCACGTGGTCCATGAGTGGGTGCTACCAACACGTGGGTTTAAATCAATTGCATGGGGAACTGGATGGCTTGGTTGCTTGTATTTATTTATCTATCTATCAAATTTGTCACCGCCCATCTCGTTGAAACGACTCTCGGTTTCATCAGAACATGTATTTATTTATATTTATATTTTGAATTTAGACACCGCCCATCTCACAAGGAAGTGACTCTGGGTGGTTTACAATAAAAACAACAAATAAATATTAATTAAAATACAATAAAAACAGTATAAAAATACAGTAAAACCAGACATATACATAAATAATAATATCTTCCAAGATGCTGGTGATCAAAAAGATATTAACATACGGGAGCATCTTCAAGATGCTAGCCACCCCCCGGGGTGGTTGCCCCCTTTCTTTCCCCATGCCAGTTGGCAGAGCCCGGGCTTGGCGGGCTGTTGGG